TATTCTGTCACGGCATGAGCCAACGATTCCGGACCTAAACCAACAGTCTCCAACGCTCCACTATAAAGCATAAGATTAGGCCCGCCCAACAACGTCCAGGTTAAAAAACTAGCCAAGGGGAGGGGTAAACCTGGCTTAAGATTTAAGCAGAGATAAAGAAACTGGTCCTCAGAGCACTTTCGTAGCTTGTACTTTGTTATTCTTCTCTGATTTATCTTGGTTCATCCCTAGAATCCTTTAAAATTCTCTTAAATTTAGTTTGGATTTTTTAGTTATTAATCATCCTTGAAAGACTTTTGAAAATCTATCACAGACAAATACCTTCGGAAAGTTTCCAAGGTTTAAACTTTATTTTCTGTGATTTTTAATCGAAACTGAAAGGCATTTCCCAATAGTTTCCCTGGTCTTGTAAAGTTTTGCAGTTCGCTGGTCACATTGGTTAAAATTTTCAATTTTTTAACAGATGTGTATACTTTGTTAAAACTACTGTAGAATTTATTAGTGTTAAGTACCCAATTTAAACATTTTGTTGATATTTTTAAAATTCACTGTATTTAAATAGTGAAAAAGTTACTTTAGTCACTATTTTTAGGGAAATAGTGACTTTAGTGACTGGCTTCAAAATAGTGACCAAGTAACTAAAAAGTGACCTGCTACCAGCCCTGTCATCACTGACGTTGCTCTCTCGACGTTGACGCAAGACAGTCCTGTATCCAGATCACATGGAATTAAAAAAAAAACAAAACGTTTGGAAGTAATATTGAGTATTGTTGACCAAATTGGCCACACCCAGCATACGGACTTGGAAAATTTTTTGAGAGATTTCAGACCGCTATTTTTTGGTTGTTCAAGTATAAACCATGGCCCGCTTGATAATGGAACAAACTAATTTACTTAATACAGCGTTTGTAGTGGAAGTTTTCGGAAGCTTTTGACGTCTATTTGTTGGCATTAACAATAACAATAACCGTGTATTTTGTCAGTCCATAAACCGCTCTTGTTTTGGAGACAGTCACCATGCAAGACAAGCTTAAAAACAAAAACGTGCACAGTCTGCTGGAAAATCTATCGTCCGCGTCCAAGCTGGCTAAAGTATTAAATTTTCCTAGAAACACCGTATGACGCGTGCTCAACATGTACAGGAAAACCTTGACGACGAACCGGAAGCCTCAAAGTAAACGCCGGAGTGACGGTTGGCAGTTCCAGTTCCATGGAAAGGTAGTGAGGTCCATCAGAAGCAACCCAGGTATGTCCGATCGCGATTTGAGTGATGCCGTCCGTAGGTCCGCGCGAGTAGGTAACCAAATCGATCACTCAAGCAAAATACCGTAGCTAGAACCCGTGCTTGAAAGCTGTATGTCAACCTTATGGCATACTTATGGATGATGACACCTATGTAAAGGCCGACTTCGTACAGCTTTCAGGACCAAAATTTTACAAGGCGAAGGCTGGAGGAGGTGTCCTTGACAGATGCAAATTAGTTTTTGCAGATACGCACGTAAATATATGATCTGGCAGGGAATTTGCAGCTGCGGCCAGAAGACAAAGGTTTTCGCAACTGAGAAAATGATGAACTCGGAGATTTATAAAACCGAATGTCTCCAGAAGCGAATTCTGCCCTCCATCCAGTCACATGATGGTCCGGTGACATTTTGGCCGGATCTTGCGAGTTGTCACAACAGTCGGAAAGAACAACAATGGTACAATGACAACGGAGTTCAGTTTGTTCCGAAAACCCTCAATCCGGTTAACTGTCCCCTATTCAGGCCCAATGATAACTACTGGGAAATTATGAAGAGGAAACAGAAGGTTAAAGGTACAGTTATCAAAATGGCAGCTCAGATGAAACATTGGTGAGATAACATCGCCAAAACAGAGGAAGAGACCCTTGTGCACCGCTTGATGGGTCGTATTAATGGAAAAATTCGAGAATTCCTTCGAAACCACGACGAATAATTCGTTTCGTTTTTTTTTTTTTTCTTAAAATATAAGGAATAGTATGCACATGAGTGAAAACCGTTATTTCAAATCCGAAATAGACCCAAATCATGTTGTTCCATTACTAAGTGGGTCATGCTTTAGAAGGTCACTCACTGAAATTTGTATAATTCAAGTTTGGCAAACAATTACTGCACTGTTTCGCAGTATTTTTCCATCCTTGAAACGTGCGCATTCTTTCGAGTTTTACTGGTTTCGTGATTATTAGCAGCACGGATTAAATATCATCATCACATAACTTACCTTCTTTCAAAAACTGCTCGTTTTTTTCTCGCACCAGTGACATAGATTTTTTTACGGATTGCCGGTTTCTCTTTAATTTAGTGAAATTTAGCCGTTGGCTAGTTATTCACTTTGCAGGGTAAATATCATAGGCATAAGGCCTTGGGAAAATAAACAGTTTGACACTACAGAGTTGGTTTTGTTTGTTTGTTTACTTATCATGGAGTAATTCCTTTTAAAATACTACCTCCGTGTCGTAAAATGTTTTGAACATAATAGCGTATGTCCACAGTTATATAATATAAACGTAGGTTAGGTCTAAAATTTATCGACAAATCCAAAACTCCAATTTTCCACCCCTCTGACCAACATTGTGCTTGCGTAACCTGCCGTGTTGTTTGGTGGAATGATCAAATTTTGCGATCGACGGCTTTGAAACGGGATCAACTTCTGGAAGAGCGCAGATGAGGAACACGTTTTGGCAAGTTTTCACAAATAGACAAACGGTATTTATACAAATTGTGCAACGAGCAACCGAACAAGTTTGGCTGGAGATGACTCACTCTTGCGTACCGATCAAGCCCATAGACGAAACGGACACAGCTATTAAGTGCTACTCGTAACCTGCCCATGGAGTTTGCGCTAGGGTTTACATACAGAAGATCTCCGAACAGAAAATGCAGAAGAACTAGAGCTTTGAACATCTTAAGCCGAACATTCGTTGGTGCGGCGGAAGCTACACTATAGAACGTGCGCAGACAGGTGTGGATTTTCCCGCATTGCTGATTAATTAGTCCATCCCACTCCAAGTCAGCTTGAAACACGAAACCGAGCTTTACAGCTCTGTCTGTCCGTTCAATGGGTGATAACAGGCAGCGAATCAGTGCGAACAGGGTTACGCCGGGGACCCTTAACGAGAATTGCCTTGCGTTTTGACTGGTTCACAAAAAGCTCGTTACGATCGAACCATTCAGCAACTCTCTCAAGGTCTTCGTTAACCATTCGTGTTAGCTCACGAACACACGGGCCAAATTGTCTTATATAAAGTTGAATATTGTTTGCATAGATTTGAATTGAGCACCATCTTAGCACTGTTTTGAGAACATTAATGCAGCAGCAAAACAACGAAGGACTGATCACCAACCCTTGTGGTACGCCCTTGCCAATCTCAGAACTTTGATTGCCACAAAAGACAGTTTGAGTTCTTCCAAATAGGTATGAATCGACGAGGCTTACTGCACCAGGGGAAAAATTGAACTTCGTCTCGAGTTTCGAACATAGTTTTCGATGCGGGATTGAACCGAACGCCTTAGAAAAATCTAACAGGAGCAATATGTCGCAGTTTTAATGCTACGTTCCCTGTGAGAACCAGCTTTACAATCCGATAATAGATGGTGCTCAGAACGCTGACATTTGTTGCTTCAAAAGATTTTCAAAAACCTTTGACATCGCACACAAGATGCTGATAGGTCTTAGATTTGTTAACGCGTTCAAATGTGTTTTTTTTCGTAGTGGCAGTACTTTCACTTGCTTCCAGCACGCAGAAAAGGTAGAAGACTCAAGTCTTGGTTGGACGACATTTCAAATTTGGAAACAAACTAGACCATTGACATAGAGTTAGCTTATTGACTAACACGAACAAGACAGAGCTTCACCATGGAAGGTGGTACCCCTGTCTGTTAGAGATCCCCACCGGCCGAAAGGAAGAAATCAAACGTTGAAAAATAATCAAATATTCCCTGAAAGGCCGTAGTGTTGCCGCATGAGCTCGTACTTCGGACACACGCAGAGGATGTGCTCGACCAGCCACCATATTACAGACGAAGGAGGTCTTGCGGAAAGCTCCTCCACCGAAATCGTGTGAAAGCCGGGTGTGACCCGTGCGTAGCCTGGAGATGACTCGTTGCTCCTTCAGGTTCCCAAGATGCTCTTCTTGATCTTCCTTAGAAGCGGTCCTTGGTTTGCCAACCATTCTTCTTGCCACCTAGCCTGCATGAAGTTTCGATCCATCGCTTGACGTCCGGAAGGGGAGCTTCATCGGTGTACCTGGCACCGGATTGTCCCACCCCGGCCAGTCGGTCAGCGTCGGAGTAACTCGATTTGATATGGAATGTATGATACCTCCTTTAGCTCAGTTACAAGATGAACTAGTCAATGAGCTAAGCATCTCGCTAATAAAGCTTAAAAAACCTTAGCTCAGTCAGTAAAAGCGCACCTACAAAACAAGACCATGCTGGAGGTGGCTGGGTTTGATTCCTGGTCCGGTCTAGGAATTTTTCAGGTTGGAAAATGTCTCGACTTCCCTGGACATAGGGTATGATTGTACTTGCCACACAATTATAATAGTGCAAAAAAGGTACAGGCATCGAAAGCTCTCAAACTGTGGAAGTGCAATCGGAACACTAAGTTAAGAGCACGGAATAATCTAATATACGATAAGCAATAAGCTTGAAATGCGAGGAGGAAGAAGAAGCAGAAGAAAGATTTAAAAATAGATAAACGTATAAATCCATACGCGTGTTTGTCGAAACTCAAACGCTCGAAGCTAATACATTTCATGTATTTATACGGCGTCAGCCAACAAATGGTTGGATCAGCTACGTGCTTAAAGACATGACAACAGATTCTTTTTTGAAGAATCTTTCAATAACAGGAAAAAGCCTTACTGCTGGGTAGGACTTAGACTATCTTGACCTCGATCTCTCTTTAATAATGAATCCTAAACCTAACCTATCTTGTACTCGAAAATTATGAAAATTTTAACTGCAATTTGCACTTACCGATGCTGCATTGTGAATCCGCTTTGCAATGAGTTTCGTGCTCTCGAACATATCCTTGCCAGGTCCTGAGGCGGTGCAGGATCCCGTTCCGCTTGGACAGGAAGACGTCAGTAGATCACACGGAAGACCCGTTTTCTCACACTTTGGTCCCATCACATTCGGAGAAACATCGCCCAAATTCGACGCTGCCATTGCTCCCACAAATTTCCCTTGTCCTGGCAAACTGTCCGGATTCATTTCTTGCTCCAACAGAATTGACGCATATCCAACATTGTCACTGGACAGAAAACAGTTTGTTTTGTTCATCGAAGTCGGATGGACAGCGAACCAATTGATTGCACCTAAGGGGTTCCCCTGGCTATCTACTAGTTTCAGTTGCACTAGCTTTTTATCTGTGTAGTCTTTGTAGAGCATTCGTTCTTCTTTAGGGTTATTTTCATACGCGCTGGGACTGCGGTTGATATTGGCATCGAAAACCTCCGTTTCCGAAACGTAAACTCGTCCTTCCTGCATGCTTTCGTGAGCTCTCACAATACTGAGCGTGATTCCCTCTACCAGCGCGTTGAAGTTCTGAGGAACGAATCCCAGCGAAGCAATATCATAAAGGAACGACATCAGAAAGCCCGATGGTACGCTATGGCTGTGCGTTCCACTGAGTACTACATTCTCAAAGCGATACAGATCTCCATACTTTTTCTGCAAAAGATCAATCACATCTCGCTTGACCGCATGTCCCATCATTCCGGCATCGGCACTGACAAAAACAACCCTTTCACCAAGCTCATCCTCAAAAATGAACGCTCTGGAAAACTGTCGTAAATGGATGCCATGACCTCGCTGTGAAAACTCCGCGTAGCCCATCTGCAAGGGATAGAAGCGACATTGAAGATAGATGCAACTAGTAATTGCACTTTCACTGCAACTTAGACCGGTTCACAGGGATAGATTGCTCATCACTTTTTAATATCGATAGCTAACGTTAAGTCCAATTTAATTTTCAGTAAATCTACCTTAAAGTACCGTGGAGGCACCATATTCGAAGCGGTTCCTAAATCGACGCACTCAATAATGTTCGACAATTTTCAATCATTATTTTTGAAATGTTACTTCTGCAAATATTAGTTCCTGTGCTCTAGGGATGATGGTGTAACAAAGTTTTAAAAAATATCTTGTCAAAATCGAGATGCGATAAAAATAAGATGAGTGCGTCATCATTAGGGACGCGTCAAATTTGGTGCTGGCACGGTAGCTACATTAATACTATTTTTCTCCCGATTAAACATAAAAATTTACGCACCGTAAAGCCACACTCTGTGTTTTTAGTGAAGGAGCACTCTAGTGCACACTTTAGGGAATATTGGGCGTGTAATAGCATTAATCTATCTATTTTAAGATGGACTTACCGTTAGCTTTTCATATTAAAAAAATAATGAGCGATCTATCCCTGCCAGTTCATATGAATCAGGATTTCTGTTGTGATAACGTATCTCAAAAATCCTGTTTTTGCTCAAACATCTAGCTTCTGATTGAGTCTTTTACAGATAGATCGCAATTATTTTAATACAAACACTTACAAATCCAATCTCGACTGGTGGTCCAGTGCAATCGGCTCGCCCCACTCCAACCCGATATGACGACACGACGATCAACAGGTTTGAGAAAACAAGCAATCCTGCCACCACCAGTGGCAGGCGTAGTTTCTCCAACTGCGTCATCTGCTGGTATGGATTGCACGTTGAACTTTCCGTGCGCGTACGCTTCCAATCATTCAAGCGTGCTCGGAGTTCTAAAAAGGAAGGCAAGGAACAACAAAGCGGTCATATATCGGTCGCAAAACCGTTTTGTTTGATTGATTTTTTTTTTAAATCAGATTCATCTAGCGGTCCGCAAACCGATAAGGTAAATCCATGTATAAGGGAATTAGATATCACTTCTAGATTAGATAAAACCAGAAAGCAAACGTTTTCAAGGGAACGCCTGTTTCGCCAATGACACATTATTTTATGCAATAACTAGTAAATCTACCCAATTGCATAAACTCACTTATGCTTCCAGCTTGAATAAACTGCACGCAACACACGAATCGAAATGGAGCGGCTAAGGCAACAACAACGTCGATCAATTACTGTACTCTCTGCAACTTCACTACGCAGGCTACAATTACACCCTTGGATTCACACTTTTGCTTTGTTTTGCCTCAGACGCCTTGACACAGCTACGGCTTTCTTCGCAAACACTTCGCCTCTTTTCCGCAAAAATCTCCTATCGCGTCCGGACCCGTCGAGGTACTCAGCTATACTGAAATGAACGTCTGCTCCTTCGCATCGCACGCTGTTCCCTTCCTGGTTTTCGATGTTCTCACTTCTCAGGTCATAATGTTCTTTGTGTGCGCTTTCGCTTTTGCTTACAACAGCTGTGCTTTGATGAAAACTTGTTTATCGCCAAACATAGCACGACTGACGACGCGACTGCCCGGAGTTATGCGCTGCGGTATATGGAAGCCTGTATTGGCGGCGATAAGATCAGATGAGTTGATATGAATTTGGGCTAATGATTACAGGTGCAAGAATGTCACTGTTTGGCAAGGTCACTTTAGTGTACTGACCTTTGAGTCAGTCGACTCGGTTTATCGCCATCGAAAAACAATCATCATTTTTGTCTTCCGCCGAGTTTCGCCTTGAGCAATTAAAAATTCTGTTCTCAATTGCTGCACATCTAGGAAGGCGAAAACCACGCACTTTTATTGCAATCATCCGCAGTTTTTTTTAACACGACTAATACATCATTTATTTCCTGTTTCACTAGCTCTTATCGGACATTCTGTGCTTGACCTATTCTTTTCTTATTTTGCTGATGAAAGTTAGATTATGAGCCACTCCCTCTACCAACACCGTATTTCACCCACAGCATTTTAACACCCGCAATATAATAAACAATCAAGTGTTGGTCTTGAATATGTGTAGCTGAAACGTTCTCTCAACGAATCCCGCCTCAATCTCAAACGTGTGCTGCTTTCTGTTGGCCACTAGCAGGGACTCAGTATCATTTATAAGCGAATGTTCATTCAGGATATTCAATTGTACACGGGAAGAATAAGGTAAAGTTAATCGTAAAATAAGAAGGGTAAAAAACTCTTGCACTATACTGCAGTTGTTCATTAAGTAATTCATTAATTTCAGTGAAAATTATAAACCAAAGATAAATATAGATGCGATAATATATTGCTGATTGCATCTGAAACTGGACTGTCCCAAAAATGCAAAAAGTGTGATAAAAGTGCACGTTTCCGTCAAATCGTTTTGATGTCTTCGGAGCACTTATTGCTTGCATCATAAGGAATAAGTGCACCCAAGACACCAACGCAGTTTTATCACACTTTTTAATAAGTGAAAACGCGCTTATTAGTCCAATTTGGTGTGGAACGCGCAATACTTCGGCTAAGGAAACGATCATCACTTTTCTCTAGTTCAAAGATAAGCATTCGAATTGATTGCATGCATTAGTGAATGAATCAACTGAAAACATTATAGGAAAATATGCAAGTGGTTTTTGTTTAGTGATTTTAACAGCGTTGTAAATGTTCGTGATATTTCCCGAAGGTCACCAAGGGAAAAGTTGGGGAGTTTTCTTAGATGGGGTAACTTGCAATAGAAGGAATTCCATCCAGAATGAGTTAAAAATAATCTGAAATCGTGCTCGACTATCTTCGATTTGGATGATTGACTGACTTGGCACATATTTTCAGAATGATAGACCCATTTTTACTCAAGAATAATTTTTGAAAATAGCCTATGTGTTTTTGTACACAAATTATTAAAAAAAATGTAGTTCGAAAACGGTTGGTTGTCAAGACAAATTTATTACGAAAGGATTTATGAAAAAAATATACGCTGACATTTTTATTAGGTTTGAAAAAAAAACGAAAATAAATCTCTAAATTCAAATAGGGGAAATGGCTCTAATGTTGGCCTTTGGATCTAAGATTGGGCCCATCGCTAAAAATCTGCTATTCATCAATTTTATTTAGATAAACGCGTCATTGGGGGCGGTACTAATGGATATATTTGGTCGCTTATGAAAATTTAGTCGATTGCTGAATTTATGTATGAGCCCAAATAAGGAGCATTTAGACCGACATTACATCAATTTCCCCTATCTTAAAATCGTTTTTTAATACTTTTTTTTATAAAAACTGTAAAACATAGTGGACATTTTGAAAGTAACTCGAGGATGAAGCAACTTTTAATAAAACCTCTTATTATGAGCAACTTTTGAGGCATTTTTGAAACATTGATTATTTACAACAAAAATAACAGTTTGATGACAGAATATGATTATGAAAATCATTTAAAACCACAGTGCTCTTAATTACCTAAATGTAACGCTTTTTGAGATATATATTTCAAATTTAGTTTCGCCATAATATTATTTTTTAAGAAAATATACCCTTTTCAAAAATTAACCGTGATTCTCCATCAGCAATCATAAGTTTTGCACATATGATGCATATTTTCACCAGGTCCGAGTGTTATTCCATCTGCAGTCCTAAAAAAATGCTCCGATATCTTAGCTGCTCCGTTGTCCTTGCTCTTCAACCTGTCACTTCGTCAACAGAAATTTCCCGCACTATGGAAACGGTCTACTATGTTCCCTGTTTTCAAGAAAGGAGACAAACGCAATGTGGAAAACTACCGTGGGATTACCTCGCTTGGGGTTGAATCTAAGGTGTTTGAGTCGCTGATAAATGAGAGATTGTTTGCTTCCTGCAAGCATTACATAAGTAAAGGGTGATACGGTCAAAATTTGGTCAATATCAACTTGACGTATTTCTTTCAATTTTGCATTTAAAAAACCTGAACACCCCTCATTTTGAAGGTGTGTGTGTGTAGAATGTTGCTCCTATTTTGATTTTGGAATTCACTCTTCAGTTGTCAAAATGCCGTCCAAGCAAGAAGAGCAGCGTATCAAAATTTTGCTCGCGCATCGCGAAAATCCGAGCTACTCGCACGCAAAGTTGGCAAAATCGCTAAAAGTTGCCAAATCAACCGTTACAAATGTAATTAAAGTGTTTGGGGAACGTTTGTCGACAGCCAGGAAGTCTGGATCGGGGGGAAATCGAAAACCGGAAGCCGCTGAGACGACAAAGAGAGTTGCCGGTAGTTTCAAGCGAAACCCTAACCTCTCTCTCCGAGATGCCGCAAATAAGCTGGGTGTATCGTCTACTACCGTGCATCGAGCCAAAAAACGAGCCGGACTATCGACTTACAAGAAGGTAGTGACTCCAAATCGCGATGATAAACAAAATACGACGGCCAAAGCGCGATCCCGGAGGCTGTACACGACGATGCTGACGAAGTTTGACTGCGTGGTAATGGACGACGAAACCTACGTCAAAGCCGACTACAAGCAGCTTCCGGGACAGGAGTTTTATACGGCAAAAGGAAGGGGAAAGGTAGCAGATGTTTTCAAGCACATGAAACTGTCAAAGTTCGCAAAGAAATATCTGGTTTGGCAAGCCATCTGTACCTGTGGCTTGAAAAGCAGCATTTTCATAGCTTCCGGGACTGTCAACCAAGAAATTTACGTGAAAGAGTGTTTGAATAAACGTCTGCTGCCTTTCCTGAAGAAACACGGTTGTTCCGTACTGTTTTGGCCGGATTTGGCATCTTGCCATTACGGTAAAAAGGCCATGGAGTGGTACGCCGCCAACAACGTGCAGGTGGTTCCCAAGGACAAGAACCCTCCCAACACGCCAGAGCTCCGCCCAATTGAGAAATACTGGGCTATTGTCAAGCGGAACCTAAAGAAGACCAAAAAAACTGCTAAGGGCGAGCAGCAGTTCAAGGCAAACTGGCTTTCTGCGGCGAAGAAGGTGGACAAGGTGGCTGTACAAAATCTGATGGCAGGGGTCAAGCGTAAGGCCCGGCAATTCGGATTTGGAAAAGCGGAAGCCTAACTGAATATTTTTCCTGAATTTTATACTAATTGAACTTGAAAAAGAAATTTAATTTGATTTTTTAAATAAACGATTTCACCGATTTACACGCGTTTTCCCTTGACCAAATTTTGACCGTATCACCCTTTACATGTCAACATGGTTTCTTTCCTGGCCGCTCCGTGGAAACTAATCTCGTCAGCTTTACGTCGTTCTGTATGGAAAATGTATGCAAGAAACTTCAAGTGGATGCCATCTACACTGAACTTTTGACTTTGAATGATCTATATTTCTTGTATTTGTTTGGTTTACATGTATGAATTTTCAAGTGACACAGATGCGTCTTTTCAACTTTAGTTATTTTGAAATTTTTAATTATTATTTACTGTTCCTAGTCCTATCAGGCCTGTTAAAGTATGACCACCTTAGTGGGATTGGTTTGTTTTGAATTGGAAAAAGGAGACTACTTAAAACTACTATTTACAGCTACAACTAATCTACAACTACTATATACACCTAACCTACTATATACAAATTGCTTATCAAAGCATGTTCTGATGTATTGCATTTCTGTACAAATTTGTTCCTAGTTTCGTTAATTTGAAAATCTACTTTCGGGATGTTAGCCTCTTGATGGAGGTCGGAAATGCGGGTATCGAAAGGACGATCTAGGATCATCCTCAATACCCTGTTCTGCGCTACCTGTATTTTGTTCCTGTGAGTTTGTGCACATGATTCCCACACCGGAGCTGCGTAAAAGATCGCAGGCGCAATGATTTGTTTGTAGACAGCCAGTTTGTTCAGCCTAGAGAGACGAGATCTGCGGCAAATAAGTGGATACAAGCACCTAACTAGATTGGAACACTTAACTACTGCCCTATCTATGTGCGAGCGGAAAAGGAGCTTTTCGTCAAATAACATACCAAGATATGTTACTTCGGTGGACCACTCAACCCTTGTGCCATCCATTATTACAGTACAAGAGGGAGCCGGTTTTAGTTTGGGAGATTGTCGATGGAGGAACATTATTGATTGGGTTTTGGAGGCATTGATTTTGATTTTCCACGTGTTGGCATAATCAGCAAAGGCGTCAAGGCATCGTTGAAGTTTGTTTGTTATTTCACGAGGCCTCCTTCCCTTGACGGTTATAGCGGTATCATCTGCGAACAGGAAGAACACGCAACCGTTGCCCAAGGGAGGAATGTCGGAAGTGTAGATGCTGTATAGCAAAGGTCCCAACAGGCTGCCTTGCGGAACACCTGCTGGGATGGAAAAGGTGTTTGAATTGCAACCATTCAACGATACCTTAAACGACCTTTGCTGGAGGTAGTTACGGGTGATTTTTACAAGATGTGGTGGAAAGTTGAAGTTACAAAGCTTGTACACAAGTCCGTCATGCCAAACATTGTCAAACGCCTTTTCAACGTCTAGCAATGCCATGGCTGTGGACTTGGATACAGCTTTGTTACTTCGAATGTTATTCATCAC